GATTAATGGGGATTGTTCAATTGCATGGAACAAACGTTTTGAGTTAAAAATAAACGAGATAAGTGAAATGAGATTTACAGAGTGTTTGAGTAAAAGATTTAAGAAAGGATTTTTGATATATTATTATAGAGAAATGATCTACTCAAAAAGAAATAGACTTTTAAAACAAGAAGAAAGTAAATATGAATTTAATTTTATTACTAAAGCAATAGCAAAATATAGTCGAGGATATCATTTATATAAACACCTTTTATGGTTAATTGATCATTCTCATATTAACCATATTTATCTTGATATTATGAAATGGTGTGAAGAAGGAATAATAAATGATTCAAGTGATTATTCATTAATGAATATTAGAAAAAAAGTGATTGAAACATACTATTGTATAAAACTTGTAAATGGTTCTTATACTATTAAATTAAATGAAATTAACCAACAAATAAAAGACTTTTTTATTTTAGAATATGTTTGGGTATCCACTTTAATTCATTTAAATCCACAACACGAATCATTATGGCTTTATCATTATACTATTAGCCAATTAATCAAATGTATTGAACCTAAATTAACCAAAGAAAGTAAACAACAATTTAATTTTACAAATTATATAAAATTAATTTATGAACAAAAAGGTTGTATTAAAGTTTCTAGAGAATTTACTGAATTAAATATTTCTTTCATCAACCAATACTCATTTATTCCAATAAACTCAATAGAATTTCAATTTCTTAATTATGAAAAAAATAGAGTCTCAAATCAAAAAGTAATGAGACTTGTTGAAAGAAGACTAACATCTAATTTAGACTAACTTAAAATATTATTATTCTCCTGTTTTTCTAGTATTTCTATTTATTTGTATAGATACATCTTTAATTCAACTTATTCATTCCTTTGAGAATTTTTATTTAGCTTTTTATGTTAAATTCTTAATGCTTTGTTGTTCTTTCTTCCATGTATTATAAAATATTGAACCATTATATCAGTTAGTTCATTAAAGTTAAAAATAATGTTATTAATTCTTCTCATTTTTACATATCTAATCATTACCTTCTTTAAATTCTTACTCATATCACTAATTACTTGTAACTAAACTTAAATAATTTGATGTCTTAAATGTCTTTTCTCTTCTTTAAAATGTAAATAAGACTTTATACCTCTTATAAAACTACTTATATCTCTAATATAACTTGTTAAGAACAAAAACAACTATTACTAAATGCAATACTCTGATATTATTAATTTGTAAAAGTGAGGTGTATTAAACAATTTAATTTTTATTAAATATGTATGCCTCCTGATGCCATTGTAACAACAAAACATATTATAAAAATATTATTTTACCTAATTGTAATCTTTATAAATAATAGTACCACCAAAATCAATTCAAAAAATAGTAAATAATACTTGCTCAAGTCTTTCATTTCTATTATCAACAATATAATAATGAAAAAGGATTTTTTAAATTAAATTTTATTTGTTTTAAAGTATGAAATATGGTTAAATAATAAGAATAACATAAAACAATATTTAAAATAAAAGTTGGATAGAGCAAAGACAACAAATGGTTAAACAAAGCGTAAGTTAATAAACCAATTATTGACGTTACAAGATAAACATTAAAAGATATGAAAAAACCCTTTAAAAGATAATACAATAGAAAAATAAAAGAATAAAAAAAGTCATCAACAACCAAAATTAAAATTAGGCGAGAACAAAGAATTTTCTAGCTGGGAAATGTTGTGCCTTTTTAGCAGCTTTAACAGTTTTAAGATTGAGTTGTGCTTTGGTTAATTGTCTTCTTTCCTTTCTAGTAGTCTTTGGTCTAAGTTCTTTTGGAACGTATTTGGCTTGTTTGTAATACTTTCTAAGAGCTTCCATTCTTTGAGTATTCATGACAGTTAATAATCTAGCAATATCTTTCTTGACAACTCTTAATCTGGAGATTTTAGATGGAGCTCCACCAGTGACTTTAGCGGTTCTAAGGTTGGCAAGTTCACCTTTAAGTTCAATCAACTTAGCGTTCATATCATTTTTGCTCATGGCTTTAATGGCGGAAATCTTCAAAGACACTATTAGTTAATATATTTTCAACGAGACACCACTTTTATTGAAAATAATGAATTAAAACAAATATGGTATGTACAGTAACAAACTCTTTGCTCAATCTTCAAAGTTTATGTGAAGGGTTTTTCTTTTATTTTTTTCTTTTTTCTTTTTATCTAATTTTTTTTATAGTAATTTAATTATTTATTATAGTTTTTGTGAAGAGGGGTTTTTTATTATCTATTTTTGAAACTCTGTTATATAAAACGTTAAATGATTTAAAAGAGAATGAATTACAAGACTAAAAAGGATAATCTACCATCATTTGCATTGTTATCAACGGTGTAATTGCTGTTATTATAATGCTGAACCAATCAGTTGGTCCATTGAGGAATTGATTTCTATAATCTTCATAGACTCTATGATAATCATAAACATCTTTCTGAAGGACTTCACTTTGAGTGACAGCAATACCATTAAATAATAAGTTAAAAACACAACGACAAAAGAAAGAAAATATGAGAATAAAACTACAAATCATTTCTCTTCTTTTAATCTTTTTAAATTCAACATCAATAAATGTTTTAAATATTTCGTGTAAATGAAGAATAAAAAATATCATTGATATAGTACATAAAAGAAAATGAATACTTGACTCAAAACCAAACATCATTTCAAATATTGTAGATGTATATGATGCTTCAACTAATTTAAATGAATAATCTTTTTTATTTTTATAATAAAATAATTAACAAACTTACAAAGCATCCTTGATGTTGCCATAATATTTCACAATAAATCAATAATACAGTATTTGATACAATAGTACATACACTAAATCCAATATTAAATGAATTAATTCCATCAAACCATTTTGTTAATGAACTTTTGTTATTTGGTAATAATTTTGATAATTGATTTTTACTAAAGAAAAAGATTAATTCTTATTTTCTTAAACAAATAGTTTATTGTTTTAATAGAAGAATTACAAACACTGTAGTTATTGTAAAGAAAAATGTAAATAATATTCCATAGACACATCCTATATCTAATAATTCATAATACATATAAAAATTAAATGAATTAACCCCCATTCCATAATATATTAAACATCCAACACCCATTAATAAACCATCTAAAATAGTATAGTAATTTCCAATTCTAAACACCATTCTTGGTCCAAGACATGATTTGTTTTCAAAACCTTTCATTTTAAGTCCTTTTCCAAATCTCCAACAATTATTAATAATAGTAAATATAAGTATTCCTAAATAAAAAAAAAACAATAATAATCCATCAATAAGTGCAGCTGTCTCTAAAGAAACACTCATTTAAATCTTTCTGTTCGTTCTTCTTCCTCTTTTTATCTCTTTTTTTTTCTTAAAATAATTTTATTATATTAAAATTATATTAAAACTATAAAATAAATTAAATAACACTCCTATTTTGCATTTAAATCATTTCTCTCTAATTATTTCATTCTCCATTTAAATGGGATAAAATATATGAATTCATTATTAATGAAACATAAGGACTTCTTTCTAAATCAATTTTTGCTGTTTCTTTTTTAATAATTTCAATAGTTTTTACTTCTAATCCACCTTTAGTTCTATTAAAGAAATGGAATGAATTGTTATGGCTCATATAAATGATTTCAAATCTCCAATAAGGATAATATGTAGAAAACTCAGTTGGTAAAACATCATTATTTGAATGATAAATACCAATTACTTTTTCTAGTGGTGGAAGTTGAGCAATTCCTACATTTAATGGAAATATTCCATCAAAGATATATAATAATGGAGTCATTTGTTGTCCTAATAATAATCCAAATGAATGATTAATCAGTCTTGAATGTAAATCCATTATTAATAATAATGAATTTTCCATAATAATATGACTCTCATCAAAACTAACCATTTCTTCACTAAATTTTAAACTTCCACATTGTTCATTTTCATTAATTACTGAAGTACTTGAACTTCTTATTCCTTCACTATGATGAAATGTATTAGAATTACTACTTTTCTTTTGAATTCTATTTTTTGATCGAATATATTTTCCAACAACTGGTCCACTATTAATCCATCCTGCTTTTTCTAAAAAGTTATGAATTCTTCCAATAGCATTAACATCTCCACAATCTTTCATTTTGAGTCTAACTTGTGTTTTAGAAAGATAATTTGGTTTTGTTTCATTCCACATATCAATAATTTGATTTCTAATTGTCATATATCGTTCTGGTGTTTTAGTATTTCTTCCCATAAAAAATTCTTGATTTTCTGCCATTTCTTCTGGTAAAACAGTATTTCTATTAAATTCTAATGTAGTTGAGAAGCTACTAACACTTCCCATTGTATCAGTTGTTTCAGTTGTTCCTTCATTCATATATCTAGTGTCTTTAGGAACAGCTGATTCAGATTGAAATTGTCCTGATGTAAGAAGGTCATATTCTCTTGGATAAGCAGGTTGATATGATTGTTCAGGTTCTTTTGATTTTGACTTTGTAGTTTTATGTGATGATGGTTTACTTGAAGTAAATGTTGATATAAAAGTACCAATTTTTGAACTAATACTTTTGTCTTGTTCTATTATTATGTCAGTAAATACATTTATTTACAAAAACGATATTTATTTTCTTTTCATTAATAAAAATGATAGTCATCAAACTCTCTTCATTAACAACTAGATTTTGTTCTGTCTCAGAATCTTTCTTTGATTTGAAGAATTGAAAAAGAGGTTTTTTGTCATCTTCTTCCATATTTTTCTTGATATTGTTTAAAAGATTATTTTTTTTAATTAAAAAAATGTAATTTAAATTATATCAAAAACTTATTTTAATTTATTAAAAAAAGTATTTAATTCTTATTAAACAAATTGTAGTCTTTAACTTAAATTAAAATGAAAATCAGTCATTTAAGCTACACTAATTTGTTGCTTAAAACAAAAATTAATTATTTCTCTTTTTCTTCTTTTGTTACTTCTTCTTTTTTTTCTTCTTTAACTTCTTCTTTAGGAGGTTCTTCTTCTTTTTTAGCAAGTTTACCTTTTGGTCCAACTCTTGGCTTTGGTTTAAATTTAGCCTTTTCTTCTTCATTCATTCCATTCCATATTTCTACTAATTTGGAAGTAATTTCTTTTGGTTTCAAATCAGGGTTGGCAGCTTTAACTTCTTCTCTCTTTTCTTGGCAGAATTTAATATATGGATTTTTTCCCTTCTTTGACTTAATAACAATGTATTTTCTACTTTGTTTCTTTGTTCTTGGTTTTTTACTATTTTTGTTAATTTTTTGTTTTTATGTTTAAGAGTCTCTATAAATAAGTCATCAAGGCGAGAAAGAATTACAGCTACCAAAGGGTGATGACCTATTTCATTCCTTTAGATAACATCTCTTTTTATTTTGTATCAATGATATAACTCATTTCTCTCGCAAAATACGTGAATATTTACGAAGTTAATTACTTGTAAATCCAATCATCTCAAATTTTGAATAAAAGGACACTTCTCATAAATGAACAAAACCTCGCTGGTAAATTCGAATATAATAAAATACAAACGTGTTTTCTGAGCCAGACATTAATTGATTGAAATCTTATAATTCTCTCAGCCTCATATATCCCGACATCATAGGTTTCTTTTAACTTCTCCAATTCTCTCTTCTTCTCTTTCCATTCTTATTATTTTTGTTTAATATTTTTTCCTATTGTTTCTAGTTTCTGCCGTTTCTTATTTTTTTCAAATCTGTAAAATAGGAAACTAAATAAACTTATAAATAATTTTTCTCTTTTCATTTATATCTTCTAATAATTTCTTTTTTTATTTTTGGTAGATTTAAAACAAAAAATTAAAAATTATTATTTTGTTATTATGTTTTTGACGTAAAGTCTTTACTGGAAAAAGTTTTTGACATAAAATTAAAAACAACAAGAAAGAAATTTTTAGCGGAAATTTTTTAATGGAAAATCCTTTACAAGAAAAAAATGGTAATAAAATAGTTTAAATAATTTACACAGTTGTTTAATTAAACTTTTTCTTTTAATTGTGAATTCAATAAGTAAACCACTTGTTTCATTATAATTCGTAGTAATATTTTAAAATATTTAAATTTATATTAAAACAAAGATAAATTATTGGAAAAATTTTTCAAAGAAATAGTTAATAATTAAATGAATTATAAAAATATATTTTATTTCCATTCTAAAAAAATAAGAAGATTTTTTTATATAAAATTAACAAGAAAATAATTTTTGAAAAAACATTCATTCAATTTTTTCTATTATGAATTTTATTTACTCTGTGTTTATTTTTGAACTTCTATGTAATATAAAGTTATTATCAACTTAATACTTTATTGTCTTATTAAAACTTTCAATTTAAAATTCAGTATTAATTTAAATTGAGTAGTATCAGTATTTATAATTAATTTTACTTGTTACAATAGGGATTAGTAGATAATGTCTAATACTTGTTAATAATTGAAGAAAGTTTGAATTAGAAGATTTTTGTGTGAATAAGTAATTTTATTTAATAAATGAAAACTAATAACTATTTAATTCTATTTAAATTAAACCCATAATAATTATTTATTCTTAAATAATTAGAAAAAAGGAAAAGAAAAAGAAAGAAATAGATCCTTCAGGTTCAAATAAAATGATGAGTGAGTAAAATCTTCTTCTGAAGAAAAAGGCCGTCCACACTTTGTTACGCATGGCCCTCTCTCTGATTTTTTTACTTCAATTATAATTTATTATTTTGAAGTATTATTCAGAATGTAGTTATTCCTTTATAGATGATGAAAATGAACTATTATTGATTAAACCAAAATATAAATTATTGTTTTTTCTTCCAAATAGATGACTTTTGAGTATATTTAATTGCAGTCTCCAATATTTCTTTATAAGAATCTCCACTTATTGCTGATGTTTCAAAGAACCCTGAAATTTTGCCTTTCTTTAACTCACTTTTCAAATCTTTTACCATACGAATCTTTTGTTTACCTATTTTATTCATCGTCACTTTATCATCTTTCAAATCCATTTTAGTAGCAACAATAATGATTGGTATGTCATCTGATATTGTCCTCACTTCCTTAATAGCTTCTACCACCCTATCAAATGATTTAGGAATATAAGGACAATAACAAACTACAATACAATCACTATTTCCTATTGCTCCTGATGCAAGTTTAGAATAGTCTGGTGATCCTGATGTGTCTACAATAGTAAGGTTGAAGATATTATTCCCCTCTACCATTTTCATAGTATAATGCTCTTGAATAGTTGGTTCATATTGACTCGTAAATCTTCCACTCGTCATAACA